CCCCAATTCTTTTTCTATCGTCTTGCTTCCATAATATGATTTTTTTTTTACCATTTATAGTGTTCACCTAATTCTAATGAACAGGCAAGTCTAAGGAGTCTCTATCTTATGTAAAATGAAAAAAATCAAAGTCTTGAAAAAATATTTTTCTACTTACAAACAGATTTTTTTGAAGATTTTGATTTCACATGAGATAGCGTTCATTAGCATTATGCAAACACTGTAAGTGGTAAAAAAAACATTTTTTTCTGATATATTATGGAAGCGAGGTGATAGAAAAAGAACTGGAGCTTTCAGTCAAACTAAGCACCCCCAGTCTTTGATGATTGAGGATGTATAGACTTTTCTGGCTAGTATTTCCGAGATCATGTCATCATTCAAAGAAAATAACCAGAGAAAAAGTCACTCCTGCAAGTTATTACTGTTGTACTGATGATCTACTGTCAAATTGTATAAAAACAGAAAGGTGAATGTGTATATATTCTAGTACATTTCATTTGATCAATAAAATCTGAAGAAGGCAACACATTGATTGCTGAAAATACATAACGAGACAGGGAATATGCTACTAATTATGAGATTTATTTAAACAATAATAGGAGCATTGTATCGATGGAAAAGATCTTAATACTGTTCACATATAAATTTTAACCAAAACTTAAAGGTGATTAATTTGAAATGCCTATTAAAGATTTTCTGCAAGTAATTTTACTGTTTTGCCATTATTTAAACTATCAAGAAGGGTCTTAGCAATTTTTCTTGAGCTATAATGATAAACAGCATCAGAATCTTTTGATGGTCTTGTCACTAAAATATGTGCGACAGTTGTAGATTCATTACCCCTATGTTGATGTTTATATCTCTGTCCATCTATTTGCACTTGAAAATTAATATAGTCACTATTTCCAGTAAAATTCTGATCATCTAAGCGTACATTATCTGTTTGCTTTATTGTACCCGCCTTAAATGGCTGAGACATAATTACCACTAGTTTATCATTTTCATTCCTTAATTTTTTCATAGCTTCAGGCATTAATTTATATTTTATTTCTTTTTCTAGATCTTTATTGCTTATAACATCTGAAAGTTGTTTTTTTTCTTTAATATTTACCAATGGTACCGATCCATTCTGTGATCCATCCTGTATTACAGTTATAGGATTGAAGATGTAAAGGTTTTTCTTCGGTTTACTTTTGTACCTAATGATTCATGATAAGCTATTAGCAAACAATCTATCCGTCCACTGATCTGTATATATGTTTCTGTTCCTCTACCAGTAAAATAATGTCTAATATCTTCATTTTCACCTGCTTCATAATAGATTTTGGCAGATTGTTTAAAAAGAGCAAGTATTTTTCTTACTTCTGAAGGATTTATTATTTCTTTTTCGTCAGTATCTGAATTGTAAACAGTTATTTTTCTTCTTTTACGATCTGCTAACATTTTGATATCAGTTAGACCTAAAGCTCTATCTTTATCGTTTGCTTATCTCAAATAACTTGCAGTAATTTGTTTTGGATTTCTAATATTATTTTGTAGATCTTCTCTTTTCGCTTGATCTTGTTATTCTTTCTTTGAATCTTGATTTATTAGCAATTTGACTTTCTGCATGAATTTGTCTATTTTGATTCGATTGTTTCAATATATTAGCTGGATTTTTTCCATTAAATTGTGAATCAACCATTGTCTTTATTCCTTGTACAATGGTTTTTCCAATCTGTTTTAATGTTCCATTAATAGCTTGTCTTACTACTTTATCTAATTCTTTTGTTAATTTAGTTGATATATATATTCTCTAATGATTCTATTCAACTGTTCTGCTCTTGTTTCGACAAGGTTCTTATTAATGTTTTTTCTATAAATATTCTGATTTTCTTTGGTAGTACCTTCAATAATATCTTTTAAAGTATTAAAGACATTTTTCGAACTGTAAGACAGATTGAACTACAGTCCACAACTTATTAATGATATCTATTGCTTTAAGAGTAGTAGCAGCTATTTTAACGTATTTTGAATTTGATTTCTTTAGACCATCAGCAAATAGATGATAACTATTTCTTAAAGAAGATACAACTCGTGTTCGAATATTATCAAATTGTTGAGGTAATAAAATATATTTTCCTAATGTTTTTTCTAATATGTTTTTTCAATTCTTCAAAAGATTTTTCGAACTCTTCTTCATTTTTACTTTGAAGATAAACAGTTTCTACTTTATTATTTATTAAACCGATTATTTCTTTTAATAAATTTTCTTCTATTTCATTAACAATCTTTTGTATAAACATTTTCTTGAATCTGTTCCATAATTTTATCCGTCAAAAACTTTCCAATTCCAGCAGTCAACATAGAGAGACCGAAGCTAATTGCTTTTTGTATTGCCCGTTCTTTCCAACTAAAAGTACCTGATATTAAAGCATTGCCTATCTGAGTCAAACCAAAGGTTACTAAAACAGCTTCGGCAATGACTTGAACAAGTCCTATCATTGCAACGGCAAAAGCATTCCAATCCCACCAAGATTTATCTTCTTCAATAAGCAAAAATTTATTAAGATTAAAACCTTCAAAAAATCTTAATTCACTTGGAACATTTTCTTGATCTTGAAGATCTATAAAATCTTTTAAATTAGCTTTTAAACCTGTTTTAAATGAACGAATATCTCCTTGTAAAGACAAAATTTT